ACACAACATGGTGATTAGAAGGAACGGTTTCAGTCCTGTTTCAGTATCTCTGGTCTCTCCATCTCTGGTCTCTCCATCTCTGGTCTCTCCATCTCTGGTCTCTCCATCTCTGGTGTCTCCATCTCTGGTCTCTCCATCTCTGGTGTCTCCATCTCTGGTCTCTCCATCTCCATCTCTGGTCTCTCCATCTCTGGTCTCTCCATCTCTGGTCTCTCCATCTCCATCTCTGGTCTCTCCATCTCTGGTCTCTCCATCTCTGGTCTCTCCATCTCTGGTCTCTCCATCTCTGGTCTCTCCATCTCTGGTGTCTCCATCTCTGGTGTCTCCATCTCTGGTGTCTCCATCTCTGGTCTCTCCATCTCTGGTCTCTCCATCTCTGGTGTCTCCATCTCTGGTCTCTCCATCTCTGGTGTCTCCATCTCTGGTCTCTCCCTCTCTGGTTCTCCATCTCTGGTCTCTCCATCTCTGGTGTCTCCATCTCTGGTCTCTCCATCTCTGGTCTCTCCATCTCTGGTGTCTCCATCTCTGGTCTCTCCATCTCTGGTGTCTCCATCTCTGGTCTCTCCATCTCTGGTGTCTCCATCTCTGGTCTCTCCATCTCCATCTCTGGTCTCTCCATCTCTGGTCTCTCCATCTCTGGTCTCTCTATCTCCATCTCTGGTCTCTCCATCTCTGGTCTCTCCATCTCTGGTCTCTCCATCTCTCTCTGGTCTCTCCATCTCTGGTGTCTCCATCTCTGGTCTCTCCATCTCTGGTCTCTCCAGTCTCTCCTTGTTGTTATGATATGTAGGTCAAATAGTATGGTTGTGTCGTGTTGTTGTTGTTGTTGTTGTTGTTGTTTCCTGACAGCTCGGGCTCAGATTTACTGGAGAAGTCTCGGTGCATCCGTCAGGCTCGCACCGAGAGAGCCTTCCACATCTTCTACTACATGGTGTCAGGCTCTCAGGGCAAGCTCAAAGGTCTCATGTTTACACTACTGTCCATATATAGGCCAGTTTATCTATATAGCACCGAGTCCCAGCAGGAGGCCAGTCCCTATGCTCCTCAGTCCCAGCAGGAGGCCAGTCCCTGTGCTCCTCAGTCCCAGCAGGAGGCCAGTCCCTGTGCTCCTCAGTCCCAGCAGGAGGCCAGTCCCTGTGCTCCTCAGTCCCAGCAGGAGGCCAGTCCCTGTGCTCCTCAGTCCCAGCAGGAGGCCAGTCCCTGTGCTCCTCAGAGTCCCAGCAGGAGGCCAGTCCCTGTGCTCCTCAGAGTCCCAGCAGGAGGCCAGTCCCTGTGCTCCTCAGTCCCAGCAGGAGGCCAGTCCCTGTGCTCCTCAGTCCCAGCAGGAGGCCAGTCCCTGTGCTCCTCAGAGTCCTCCTTGGTTCATGGCAGTAACATGTCACAGAAGTACTTTGGTGTCTTGATACTGGTTCAGACTGGTTCAGACGAGTTCGGACTGGTTCTTACTGGTTCAGACTGGTTCTTACTGGTTCAGACTGGTTCAGACTGGTTCTTACTGGTTCCTGGTCTTGCTGGTTCCAGAGGACCTTCTGTTGGAGGACTTCAGTCGGTACCGGTTCCTGGTGGAGGGACATGTGGAGGTACCAGGGCAGGAGGATGACGAGATGTTCACAGAGACCATGGAGGCGATGGAGATCATGGGCTTCACTGAGGACGAGCGCATCGGTACAGCACCAATCACATGTATTTATTTATATGGCACAGTTCAAAGGCTTAACGCGAGCGATTGAAAACACACAGGAAAGGTGTGGTTTCACAGGACCAGTTACTACTTAAACCAAACTTTACACGAAACTTTGATTATTAAAACCCACAAATAACAACATGGAACCATCAACATCTCGCCTCAAATTGTATTTTGCCATTTTGGATAGCTCCTGCACCGCACAACTTTTGGCCCATTAGTTTAAACGGCGGAGATAGACGTGACTACGTCCGTTAATATTTACAGTCTATGGTTTCAATGGATTGTACTGGAAATGTAATCCCCATAGTCGCCAGCAGATGGCAAGATTGCACGGATGAGGATACATGTCTCAGGATGAGTCTCAGGGATAGATGTTTTGTGTGTCTCATGTTGTGTGGGTCTCTGGTTGTGTGCGTCTCAGGTTGTGTGTTTCATGTTGTGTGTGTCTCAGGGATAGATGTTGTGTGTCTCATGTTGTGTGTGTCTCAGGTTGTGTGTCTCATGTTGTGTGTGTCTCAGGGATGCTGAAGGTGGTGTCCACGGTGCTGCAGCTCGGAAACATCACATTTGAGAAAGAGCGAAACAGCGAACAGGCCACGATGCCCGACGACACCGGTAAAACCACATCCTGCAGATTATAAACCACATCCTGCGGATTATAAACCACAACAGCCCAAAAAGCAGAATAAAGAAGAAACAAACAACACCGTACTAGAGTACAAGTAGCATTTTTATACCGCTCGTGGGTTTAGAAGACCAAAATACATTTGCTTATTTAAATATTGAAAGTCTATAACGTTCTTTAAAGCTGCACTAACTGACTTTGGGATTTTGAAGCCGTGGACTCGCTGGCCTCTCTCTTTCTGCTCCCCTCCCCGCACCCACGAAGCTATCGCCCCCCACACACACCCACTGTTGGGACGGAGCTAGTGTCTCTCAATATGGATAATACATGGATATGGATTTGCATGTGGATGGCGTGACCATAGAACGATAGAACCGGGAAGAGCGGAGGAACGGGACTTTCTTTTGGATGGCTGTCTCTCTGTGTAAGCAGCAGGGACGTGCGGTGAGGTTTGTGATTGGGGAGGCACTGACTTTAAAAGTCAGATTTACAATCATTATTCAAATAAAATAGCATTTAATCACCAATGCAATGACATCCACAAACTTTATATACTGTAAAGATAAGAGAACCAGCTTCTTTTAATAATCTCACAACAAATCTAGCTGCTGACTCTGCTCCGCATCAAACAACATCTTTAAGAAGCGCAGGTGCGAGAGACGCGAGGAGAGAGAGACGCGAGGAGAGAGGAGCAGAGAGAGACAGAGAGGAGCAGAGAGACGCGAGGAGAGAGGAGCAGAGAGAGACAGAGAGGAGCAGAGAGACGGAGACGCGAGGAGCAGAGAGAGACGGAGACGAGGAGCAGAGAGAGACGCGAGGAGAGAGGAGCAGAGAGAGACAGAGAGGAGCAGAGAGAGACAGAGAGGAGCAGAGAGACGGAGACGCGAGGAGCAGAGAGACGGAGACGCGAGGAGAGAGAGACGCGAGGAGAGAGAGAGACGGAGACGCGAGGAACATAAACAATAATTTAAACAAGTTGCAGAACTCTTGAGCAGTGTTTGAATCAGTGTTTTTCGGAAAAGCACTACTTTGCCGGTATCTGTCAATGTTCAACATAAAACACAGATTAACAAACTCCTCCCCCGCAGCCGGACTAACCTCGTAAGTCCAGTGGTGGTCTCCCAGTCTATATTAATTCTTTCTTTGTTTGAAAGTCCAATTGAGAAAAAAAATCTTCATTCAAATCATCCATTTTCCAGCAAAAGAAATAGCATTTTGGGCTGATTGTTTGTTAGCAACTCTGGTATGAACTTTATGCTCACTATCACCCCTAGCGGTGAGGCACAGATACCGCCTGCCTCACGCCAAGCTTTTTCCTTGTGTGTTCATCTACGATCAAAAGACTTAAACTAAATATAAATTGTACACACATACGTGCAATACACTACTAAACACTAAGAGGAGTTTAAAAAATGTTTTTAAAGCAGGATATTTGAAACAAACGGTGATATATCAACTGCACGAGCTGAGTGCACTCAGACACACACACACACACTGTGAGGGAGCGGTCTGAGGTGAGGCACGCAGGAGCGCTGCCTCACCTCGTCTCTTTGAATAGGAATAACGGGATTTCGGCGATTTTGACTTCAGAAATGATCAAAACTGATGGGAACCGTGCCGAATATACATTAAAAGCATAGGACAGTGGATATAAATTATATATTTAAACTAAAATAATTATTAGTTTCCAATAATGGCAGGTGAGGCTCTGCCTCCCCTGCCTCCCCTGACTGCACGTCCCTGGTAAGCAGTAACCGGTGACGAAGACGAGGAAGCTTCAGGTTAGCTCCGCCGCTTGTTGTGCTAACTCAGCCGTCTATGCTAACGGACCTGGAGATTTCTCACAAAAGTGGGGGCCAGTGGTCCGCTGTGATTGGTCACAATCTGCGACCCGAAACACATTCTCTTCCTTGTTTCATCAAAACTCGATCCCAATGCCCTACACGGACATGGATAGCATTTTAGTAATTAACACAAAAATAAAGTCAGTTAGTGCAGCTTTAAGATGAAGATCAACTTAACTCATTGACTGCTGCCGTTTTTGATAAATTCACTGATTCTCAAGACCCACAGAATATTATTTCCTCAGTCTACGTGAAATATGAAGCCAGATTCTGAAAGACTGGATTGTCTACTTTCATCAGCAAAAATAAGTTTGTTTCTAGCTGTTTATATTGTCCTGTAATTCCCAGTCGAAAAGAAGGTCTCAGACAAATATGTCAATGGCAGTCAATGAGTTAATAGCCCAGGCTAATAATTGATATTTTACGGTAATAAAAATATAAAAAGTTGCTCCAGAGTCGATAGATAGATAGATAGATAGACAGATAGATAGATAGATACATAGATAGATAGATAGATAGATAGATAGATAGATAGATAGATAGATAGATAGATAGATACATAGATAGATACATAGATAGATAGATAGATAGATACATAGATAGATAGATAGATAGATAGATAGGTAGATACATAGATAGATAGATAGATACATAGATAGATAGATAGATACATAGATAGATAGATAGATAGATAGATAGATAGATAGATAGACAGATAGATAGATACATAGATAGATAGATAGATAGATAGATAGATAGATAGATAGATACATAGATAGATAGATAGATAGATACATAGATAGATAGATAGATACATAGATAGATAGAGAGATAGATAGATAGATACATAGATAGATAGATAGATAGATACATAGATAGATAGATAGATAGATACATAGATAGATAGATAGACAGATGCCGTTTCCGAAGCATTCAAAAGTAAAAGTAAAAAAAAATAAGTCACTCCCTCGCCCGATGAAACGATGAAGAAAACTGTGACCTATAATCCCAAAATTACGGTAACACCAGAAGGAGAGATCAAAGCTGCTCTAGCGTCAGCAGCCGAGGCAGTGTTTCGTTTGTTGTTGATGTCACGTTTTGTGGAAAAGCCCTGTCCTCTCCCTGCAGCTGCTCAGAAAGTGTGCCACCTTCAGGGCATCAACATCACGGACTTCACCCGCTCCATCCTCACGCCCAGGATCAAAGTGGGACGAGAGGTGGTGCAGAAGGCCCAGACCAAGCAGCAGGTAACTACAGACACAGACACAGACACGGACACAGACACAGAAACAGAGACAGACACAGACACAGACACAGACTCAGAGACAGAGACAGAGACAGAGACAGACACAGACTCAGAGACAGACACAGAGACAGACACAGACACAGACTCAGACACAGACACAGACACAGAAACAGAGACAGACACAGACACAGACACAGACACAGACTCAGAGACAGAGACAGAGACAGAGACAGACTCAGACTCAGACTCAGAGACAGACACAGAGACAGACACAGACACAGACTCAGACACAGACACAGACTCAGACACAGACACAGACACAGAAACAGAGACAGACACAGACACAGACACAGACACAGACTCAGAGACAGAGACAGAGACAGAGACAGACTCAGACTCAGACTCAGAGACAGACACAGAGACAGACACAGACACAGACTCAGACACAGACACAGACACAGAAACAGAGACAGACACAGAGACAGACACAGACACAGACACAGACACAGACACAGACTCAGAGACAGAGACAGAGACAGAGACAGACACAGACTCAGAGACAGACACAGAGACAGAGACAGACACAGACTCAGACACAGACACAGACTCAGAGACAGAGACAGTCACAGACACAGACACAGACTCAGAGACAGACACAGAGACAGACACAGACACAGACACAGACACAGACACAGACTCAGAGACAGACACAGAGACAGAGACAGAGACAGACACAGACACAGACTCAGAGACAGACACAGAGACAGAGACAGAGACAGACACAGAGACAGACACAGACACAGACTCAGAGACAGACACAGAGACAGAGACAGACACAGACACAGACACAGAGACAGTCACAGACACAGAGACAGTCACAGACACAGACACAGACTCAGACTTAGACACAGACTCAGAGACAGACACAGAGACAGAGACAGACACAGACTCAGAGACAGACACAGAGACAGACACAGAGACAGACACAGACTCAGACTCAGACACAGACACAGACACAGACTCAGAGACAGAGACAGACACAGAGACAGACACAGACTCAGACACAGACACAGACACAGACACAGAAACAGAGGCAGACACAGACACAGACACAGACTCAGAGACAGAGACAGACACAGAGACAGAGACAGACTCAGAGACAGACACAGAGACAGACACAGAGACAGACACAGACTCAGACACAGACACAGACACAGACTCAGACACAGAGACAGACACAGACACAGACACAGACTCAGAGACAGAGACAGACACAGAACACTCAGCATTGACACACATGTGGAACGGAGCTTTGGGCCAAGAGACAACTTTTGGTCCATCCTGTAAAGACGTTTTCCAGAAGTCTGCCAATGCTATATGTTAGCATTGGCTAATTCTTCTTCTGGGTCCACCCCCACAGGCCCGGGGTGGTATTGCAGCATGTGAGCGCACGTCATTTTGGCCACTTTTGAGCTGGGACCCTCCCACACTGGTCTTAACCTGAAGATTTGAGGAAATGGGCGGAGTCTGCTCTGCTCCTGTTGGGTCTGATAGAAAACCTGCAGCCACAGCGGCCCTTTCTGAACCGGTTTGGACTCCTCTCCGGAATGATATCCAATCAGCGCTAGCTAAGCCTGGTCTGGCACATGTTTGTGATGTCACTGGTCTATGACACTAGCTAGCCTAGTGGTCAACAGAAATGAGTTGTTGCGTGTTTTTGAATTCATCGTCTTTTCGGTTTTAAGGTCTTGAGAAAAAAAAAAATCAGTTTTAAAAATTTCTGGAATTTTACATTTGGAAAAAGAGCAAGCACCCTGTTTCAGATTCATGTATTTGCCATTTGCAGTAAAACCCCATTGGAATACTTTTGCAAAGGTCCCAGTGTGCAATAGACAAGTACATAAATAAAGTTAAAAGTTTCATTTTTCACTATTCCTGATATTTTAATCAATCAAATAAGATTTTGTAATTAATACATTATGTTTATGTAGTTAAATAATAGCAATAAATGGTGAATCCTTTCAGTGGATATACAGGCCCACGAACCTGACTCAGTGACATCAGTTCTATCAGGAGGAATGGGCCAAAGTTCCACCAAGACTCTCTGGTTATGTGACGCAGGAACACACACAGCCGTCTCCAATCGTCCTCATACTAATGTTTTTAACTTTGTGTGTTTTACAGTTTTTATTGATCGCTTTGATGCATTTTTCACAACTGTTGGTGCATTTCTCAGAACAATTAGTGCAAACTGCAGAACCTCGTGGATAACCTGCAAAAGTGCGTCACTTTCTCAAAATGCAAAGTTTTTTCCTCAAAAGCAAGTCCAAACGTCAATGAAACTGTGTCGTCAGAATAATAAGTCCTGACAACATTGAGAATGAACAACAGTCACATGACTTAGTCATGTTCTCATTGTGAAAGTTTATTCTCTCTGTGTTTTATTATGACACTTTAGCACGACTATGAACAGACTATATACGATCTGTACAGACATTTACAGTAAAAACTACTGTAAAGTTACACAAAGACTGTATTTAGAAACGTAACTGACATGTATGTACTGTATGTACTGTATGTATGTGTACTGTACGTATGTGTGTGTGTGTGTGTATGTGTACTGTATGTATATGTAGTGTATGTACTGTATGTATATGTACTGTACGTATGTGTGTGTGTGTGTGTGTGTGTGTACTGCATATGCTCTTTGTATTGTTGTTGCACAATGCTGTAGAAGTACAGGCACATACATGTAAATACTGTACGTATATACATAAAACAAACATACAGAATATCATTGTGGTAAAACTGTGACAAATGTAAACAATAAAACACACCTCATGAGTGAAGCTGAAACTCACCTCAGAGACATTGTTCAATTTAGGAAAGATTTACAGAAGAAAAGATGAAGGAAAGTATGAAATTAGCCTGACGCTTATAATTTTGATCTAGTTTAACAGTTTTGTGTGAGACCAAAGCGATGAAATGAGGACAGTTAGTTTTATAGTGAAAGACTGTTCAGAAGTGATAAGTCTGTTTCATTCTGACACGACAGAAGCAAATGATTATGTTAAAAAAACGCAGAGAATTGTCTGAAAGTTATTGATACATGAACAAAAGCATTTGTAAAGTGTTCAGAGGAGAAACTGCTGCGATGATGTCACACATGACCCAGTGTCGTGGAGGTTGGACTCATAGTTTTGAGAAGTTTAAGTCTGAGAAATGCACCAAAGCCACTGAGAAAGACTGTAAATGTCAATGTGAAGCACTTATGGTTAAACTGTGCTATAGAAATACATTTGACTGACTGATTGACAGATTGATTGACAGATTGACAGACAGATTGACAGATTGATTGACAGATTGATTGACAGATTGACAGATTGATTGACAGATTAACAGATTGATTGACAGATTGATTGACAGATTGATTGACAGATTGATTGACAGATTGACAGACAGATTGACAGACAGATTGACAGACAGATTGACAGACAGATGGATTGACAGACGGATTGACAGACAGATGGATTGACAGACAGATTGACAGACGGATTGACAGACGGATTGACAGACAGATGGATTGACAGACAGATTGACAGACAGATTGACAGACAGATTGACAGACGGATTGACAGACAGATGGATTGACAGACAGATTGACAGACAGATTGACAGACAGATGGATTGACAGACAGATTGACAGACAGATTGACAGACAGATTGACAGACGGATTGACAGACAGATTGACAGACAGATTGACAGACAGATTGACAGACAGATTGACAGACAGATTGACAGACAGATGGATTGACAGACAGATTGACAGACAGATTGACAGACAGATGGATTGACAGACAGATTGACAGACGGATTGACAGACAGATTGACAGACAGATTGACAGACAGATTGACAGATTGACAGACAGATTGACAGACAGATGGATTGACAGACAGATGGATTGACAGACAGATTGACAGACAGATTGACAGACAGATTGACAGACGGATTGACAGACAGATTGACAGACAGATTGACAGACAGATTGACAGAAAGATTGACAGACAGATTGACAGACAGATTGACAGACAGATGGATTGACAGACAGATTGACAGACAGATTGACAGACAGATTGACAGACAGATGGATTGACAGACAGATTGACAGACGGATTGACAGACAGATTGACAGACAGATTGACAGACAGATTGACAGATTGACAGACAGATTGACAGACAGATGGATTGACAGACAGATGGATTGACAGACAGATTGACAGACGGATTGACAGACGGATTGACAGACAGATTGACAGACAGATTGACAGACAGATTGACAGACAGATTGACAGACAGATGGATTGACAGACGGATTGACAGACAGATGGATTGACAGACAGATTGACAGACGGATTGACAGACAGATTGACAGACAGATTGACAGACAGATTGACAGACAGATTGACAGACAGATGGATTGACAGACGGATTGACAGACAGATGGATTGACAGACGGATTGACAGACAGATTGACAGACGGATTGACAGACAGATTGACAGACAGATTGACAGACAGATTGACAGACAGATGGATTGACAGACGGATTGACAGACAGATGGATTGACAGACGGATTGACAGACAGATTGACAGACGGATTGACAGACAGATTGACGATTGACAGACGGATTGACAGACAGATTGACAGACAGATTGACAGACAGATTGACAGACAGATTGACAGACAGATGGATTGACAGACGGATTGACAGACAGATGGATTGACAGACAGATTGACAGACGGATTGACAGATGGATTGACAGACAGATTGACAGACAGATTGACAGACAGATGGATTGACAGACGGATTGACAGACAGATGGATTGACAGACGGATTGACAGACAGATTGACAGACAGATTGACAGACAGATTGACAGACAGATTGACAGACAGATTGACAGACAGATGGATTGACAGACAGATTGACAGACAGATTGACAGACAGATTGACAGACGAATTGACAGACAGATTGACAGACAGATTGACAGACAGATTGACAGACAGATTGACAGACAGATTGATAGACGGATTGACAGACGGATTGACAGACAGATTGACAGACAGATTGACAGACAGATTGACAGACAGATGGATTGACAGACAGATTGACAGACAGATTGACAGACAGATGGATTGACAGACAGATTGACAGACGGATTGACAGACAGATTGACAGACAGATTGACAGACAGATTGACAGATTGACAGACAGATTGACAGACAGATTGACAGACAGATGGATTGACAGACAGATTGACAGACAGATTGACAGACAGATTGACAGACGGATTGACAGACAGATTGACAGACAGATTGACAGACGGATTGACAGACAGATTGACAGACAGATTGACAGACAGATTGACAGAAAGATTGACAGAAAGATTGACAGACAGATTGACAGACAGATTGACAGACAGATTGACAGACAGATTGACAGACAGATTGACAGACAGATTGACAGACAGATTGACAGACAGATGGATTGACAGACAGATTGACAGACGGATTGACAGACAGATTGACAGACAGATTGACAGACAGATTGACAGATTGACAGACAGATTGACAGACAGATGGATTGACAGACAGATGGATTGACAGACAGATTGACAGACGGATTGACAGACGGATTGACAGACAGATTGACAGACAGATTGACAGACAGATTGACAGACAGATTGACAGACAGATGGATTGACAGACGGATTGACAGACAGATGGATTGACAGACAGATTGACAGACGGATTGACAGACGGATTGACAGACAGATTGACAGACAGATTGACAGACAGATGGATTGACAGACAGATTGACAGACAGATTGACAGACAGATTGACAGACGGATTGACAGACAGATTGACAGACAGATTGACAGACAGATTGACAGACAGATTGACAGACAGATTGACAGACAGATTGACAGACAGATGGATTGACAGACAGATTGACAGACAGATTGACAGACAGATTGACAGACAGATGGATTGACAGACAGATTGACAGACGGATTGACAGACAGATTGACAGACAGATTGACAGATTGACAGACAGATTGACAGACAGATTGACAGACAGATGGATTGACAGACAGATGGATTGACAGACAGATTGACAGACAGATTGACAGACAGATTGACAGACGGATTGACAGACAGATTGACAGACAGATTGACAGACAGATTGACAGAAAGATTGACAGACAGATTGACAGACAGATTGACAGACAGATGGATTGACAGACAGATTGACAGACAGATTGACAGACAGATTGACAGACAGATTGACAGACGGATTGACAGACAGATTGACAGACAGATTGACAGACAGATTGACAGATTGACAGACAGATTGACAGACAGATGGATCGACAGACAGATGGATTGACAGACAGATTGACAGACGGATTGACAGACGGATTGACAGACAGATTGACAGACAGATTGACAGACAGATTGACAGACAGATTGACAGACAGATTGACAGACAGATGGATTGACAGACGGATTGACAGACAGATGGATTGACAGACAGATTGACAGACGGATTGACAGACGGATTGACAGACAGATTGACAGACAGATTGACAGAAAGATTGACAGACAGATGGATTGACAGACGGATTGACAGACAGATGGATTGACAGACGGATTGACAGACAGATTGACAGACGGATTGACAGACAGATTGACAGACAGATTGACAGACAGATTGACAGACAGATGGATTGACAGACGGATTGACAGACAGATGGATTGACAGACAGATTGACAGACAGATTGACAGACGGATTGACAGACAGATTGACGATTGACAGACGGATTGACAGACAGATTGACAGACAGATTGACAGACAGATTGACAGACAGATTGACAGACAGACGGATTGACAGACAGATGGATTGACAGACAGATTGACAGACGGATTGACAGACGGATTGACAGACAGATTGACAGACAGATTGACAGACAGATTGACAGACAGATGGATTGACAGACGGATTGACAGACAGATGGATTGACAGACGGATTGACAGACAGATTGACAGACGGATTGACAGACAGATTGACAGACGGATTGACAGACAGATTGACAGACAGATTGACAGACAGATTGACAGACAGATTGACAGACAGATTGACAGACAGATTGACAGACAGATGGATTGACAGACAGATTGACAGACAGATTGACAGACAGATTGACAGACGAATTGACAGACAGATTGACAGACAGATTGACAGACAGATTGACAGACAGATTGACAGACAGATTGACAGACGGATTGACAGACGGATTGACAGACAGATTGACAGACAGATTGACAGACAGATTGACAGACAGATGGATTGACAGACAGATTGACAGACAGATTGACAGACAGATGGATTGACAGACAGATTGACAGACGGATTGACAGACAGATTGACAGACAGATTGACAGACAGATTGACAGACAGATTGACAGACAGATGGATTGACAGACAGATGGATTGACAGACAGATTGACAGACAGATTGACAGACAGATTGACAGACGGATTGACAGACAGATTGACAGACAGATTGACAGACGGATTGACAGACAGATTGACAGACAGATTGACAGACAGATTGACAGAAAGATTGACCGAAAGATTGACAGACAGATTGACAGACAGATTGACAGACAGATGGATTGACAGACAGATTGACAGACAGATTGACAGACAGATTGACAGACAGATTGACAGACAGATGGATTGACAGACAGATTGACAGACGGATTGACAGACAGATTGACAGACAGATTGACAGATTGACAGACAGATTGACAGACAGATGGATTGACAGACAGATGGATTGACAGACAGATTGACAGACGGATTGACAGACAGATTGACAGACAGATTGACAGACAGATTGACAGACAGATTGACAGACAGATTGACAGACAGATGGATTGACAGACGGATTGACAGACAGATGGATTGACAGACAGATTGACAGACGGATTGACAGACGGATTGACAGACAGATTGACAGACAGATTGACAGACAGATTGACAGACAGATGGATTGACAGACGGATTGACAGACAGATGGATTGACAGACGGATTGACAGACAGATTGACAGACGGATTGACAGACAGATTGACGATTGACAGACGGATTGACAGACAGATTGACAGACAGATTGACAGATTGACAGACGATTGACAGACAGATTGACAGACAGATGGATTGACAGACGGATTGACAGACAGATGGATTGACAGACAGATTGACAGACGATTGACAGAGGATTGACAGACGACAGATTGACAGACAGATTGACAGACAGATGGATTGACAGACAGATTGACAGACAGATGGATTGACAGACGGATTGACAGACAGATTGACAGACGATTGACAGACAGATTGACAGACAGATTGACAGACAGATTGACAGACAGATTGACAGACAGATTGACAGACAGATTGACAGACAGATTGACAGACAGATTGACAGACAGATTGACAGACAGATTGACAGACAGATTGACAGACAGATTGAAGACAGACAGATTGACAGACAGATTGACAGACAGATTGACAGACAGATTGACAGACAGATTGACAGACAGATATTGACAGACAGATTGACAGACAGATTGACAGACAGATTGACAGACAGATTGACAGACAGATTGACAGACAGATTGATTGACAGACAGATTGACAGACAGATTGACAGACAGATTGACAGACAGATTGACAGACAGATTGACAGACAGATTGACAGACAGATTGACAGACGGATTGACAGACGGATTGACAGACAGATTGACAGACGGATTGACAGACAGATTGACAGACAGATTGACAGACAGATTGACAGACAGATGGATTGACAGACAGATTGACAGACAGATTGACAGACAGATTGACAGACAGATTGACAGACGGATTGACAGACAGATTGACAGACAGATTGACAGACGGATTGACAGACAGATTGACAGACAGATTGACAGACAGATTGACAGACAGATTGACAGACAGATGGATTGACAGACAGATTGACAGACAGATTGACAGACAGATTGACAGACAGATTGACAGACGAATTGACAGACAGATTGACAGACAGATTGACAGACAGATTGACAGACAGATTGACAGACAGATGGATTGACAGACAGATTGACAGACAGATTGACAGACAGATTGACAGACAGACAGATTGACAGACAGATTGACAGACAGATGGATTGACAGACAGATTGACAGACAGATTGACAGACAGATTGACAGACAGATTGACAGACAGATTGACAGACAGATTGACAGACAGATTGACAGACGGATTGACAGACGGATTGACAGACAGATTGACAGACGGATTGACAGACAGATTGACAGACAGATTGACAGACAGATTGACAGACAGATGGATTGACAGACAGATTGACAGACAGATTGACAGACAGATTGACAGACAGATTGACAGACAGATTGACAGACGGATTGACAGACAGATTGACAGACGGATTGACAGACAGATTGACAGACAGATTGACAGACAGATTGACAGACAGATTGACAGACAGATTGACAGACAGATTGACAGATGAAGCACCTGTGTTCTCAGGCAGACTTTGCGGTGGAGGCTTTGGCCAAAGCGATGTACGAGCGTCTGTTCCGGTGGATTCTGGCTCGAGTGAATAAGACTCTGGACAAAAGCAAGAGACAGTCGTCCTCGTTCCTGGGCATCCTGGACATCGCAGGATTTGAGATATTCGAGGTATCAATATATATACAAACATTTATTTTGTAAATAAATTATATATACACACAGTGGCTCAGTTGTGTAGTCCATGTATGTAGTGTGTGTGTTGACCATGTATGTGTGTGTAGTCCATGTATGTAGTGTGTGTGTTGACCATGTATGTGTGTGTAGTCCATGTATGTAGTGTGTGTGTTGACCATGTATGTGTGTGTAGTCCATGTTTGTAGTGTGTGTGTGTGTGTTGACCATGTATGTGTGTGTAGTCCATGTTTGTAGTGTGTGTGTGTGTGTGTTGACCATGTGTGTGTTGTGTGTCCAGGATAACTCGTTCGAGCAGTTGTGTATAAACTACACAAACGAGCGTCTGCAGCAGTTGTTTAACCACACCATGTTCGTGCTGGAGCAGGAGGAGTACAAACGCGAAGGCATCGACTGGAACTTCATCGACTTCGGCCTCGACCTGCAGCCCTGCATCGAGCTCATCGAGAGGCCGGTCAGTCCTGGACCCGTTAGCGGCAATGGAGATGGCTAAAGCTAGGCCAAATGCTAAATGCTAACGACAGACTCAGGCGCATTACATACGTCACAGTAAACTCAGATCCAATGGTTTCAATCTGCAAAAGGAGTTAGCCCCTCCCACCTGTTCACGGAGCCCCTCCCACCTGTTCACGGAGTCAATGGAGCACAGACCTTAGTACGAAATGAAATTTGTACTATGGTGTGGTAAGACCAGACTAGTCCTGGACCTGTCCTGGACCTGTCCTGGACCTGTGCTGCAACAAATGTGTTTCTAGATAGACTTAGTTCAGACTAAGTTAATATTTTCAACTGTAGATGCAACTGTTTCCACCAGCCCTTCATGGCCCTACTCTACTCTACTCTACTCTACTCTACTCTACTCTACTCTACCCTACCCTACTCTACTCTACTCTACTCTACTCTACTCTACCCTACCCTACTCTACTCTACTCTACTCTACTCTACTCTACTCTACTCTACTCTACTCTACCCTACCCTACTCTACTCTACTACTCTACTCTACTCTACTCTACTCTACTCTACTCTACTCTACTCTACTCTACCCTACTCTACTCTACTCTACTCTACTCTACTCTACTCTACTCTACTCTACTCTACTCTACTCTACTCTACTCAGCTCTACTCTACTCTACTCTACTCTACTCTACTCTACTCAGCTCTACTCTACTCTACTCTACTCTACTCTACTCTACTCTACTCTGCTCTACTCAGCTCTACTCTACTCAGCTCTACTCTACTCTACTCTACTCTACTCTACTCTACTCAGCTCTACTCTACTCTACTCTACTCTACTCTACTCTACTCAGCTCTACTCTACTCTACTCTACTCTACTCTACTCTACTCTACTCTACTCTGCTCTGCTCAGCTCTACTCTACTCTACTCTACTCTGCTCTGCTCAGCTCTACTCTACTCTACTCTACTCTGCTCTGCTCTGCTCAGCTCTACTCTACTCTACTCTACTCTACTCTGCTCTGCTCAGCTCTACTCTACTCTACTCTACTCTACTCTACTCTACTCTACTCTAGCAAGCACAGGTTAGATCCGCCCATTCTCACCACCTCTGCTTTCTGATTGGACGGAATACATTGAAATCCTTGCTACACTCTTGCCATTGGTCCAACTATTCTCCTCCTGCAAATCTCATTGGTGGAGGTTATGGGACTGTATTAAATATGATACTACAGGGTCCTAAGGCCACACCATTCAGCCTCTCTGCTCCAAACTCAGATCAATAATTCACCTGCAACATTTTACATCACATCTTAAAACCTAACGCTTAAAACTGGCTTATTCTATGTCCTTTTTACATGTATTCTATTCTGTACTTTTAATATTGTGTGAGATGTTTTTTATCTATCATAAGGCATCCATGGGTGTCTTGAAAGAGTCAGGATGAATTGAATTATTATTGTTTTTAAAGATTAAAGATGAAGTTATAACGTCCTGTTGCAGATGCTGTGAGGTTCTGACATCACCTTAAAATACTCACTATCATTGTTTGTTTGTCCGTCTCCTCTGGTTCAGAACAACCCACCTGGTATCTTGGCGCTTCTGGACGAGGAGTGCTGGTTCCCCAAAGCCAGCGACACCTCGTTTGTGGAGAAGCTTCTGAACACTCACTCGGCTCACGTCAAGTTCTCCAAACCCAAACAGCACAAAGACAAACTCATGTTCACCGTGCTGCACTACGCCGGGAAGGTACTCGCTTAAGATTTAAGATTAGAAAAGATAAGATTATATTAGAGAGTAAGAGAATAAATAAAACTCTGCAGATATAATTGCATCTAGTCTCTCTCTGGTCTCTCTCTGGTCTCTCTCTGGTCTCTCTCTCTGGTCTCTCTCTGGTCTCTCTCTGGTCTCTCTCTGGTCTCTCTCTGGTGTCTCCCTGGTCTCTCTCTGGTCTCTCTCTGGTCTCTCTCTAGTCTCTCTCTGGTCTCTCTCTGGTCTCTCTCTGGTCTCTCTCTGGTCTCTCTCTGGTCCCTCCCTGGTCTCTCTCTGGTCTCTCTCTGGTGTCTCCCTGGTCTCTCTGGTCTCTCCCTGGTCTCTCTGGTCCCTCTCTGGTCTCTCTCTGGTCTCTCTGGTCTCTCTGGTCTCTCTGGTCTCTCTGGTCCCTCCCTGGTCTCTCTCTGGTCTTTCCCTGGTCTCTCTCTGGTCTCTCTCTGGTCTCTCTCTGGTCTCTCTCTGGTCTCTCTCTAGTCTCTCTTTGGTCTCTCTCTGGTCTCTCTCTGGTCTCTCTCTGGTCTCTCTCTGGTCCCTCCCTGGTCTCTCTCTGGTCTCTCTCTGGTCTCTCCCTGGTCTCTCTCTGGTCTCTCTCTGGTCTCTCTCTGGTCTCTCTCTGGTCCCTCCCTGGTCTCTCTCTGGTCTCTCCCTGGTCTCTCTCTGGTCTCTCTCTAGTCTCTCTGGTCTCTCTGGTCTCTCCCTGGTCTCTCTCTGGTCTCTCTCTGGTCTCTCCCTGGTCTCTCTGGTCCCTCTCTGGTCTCTCTCTGGTCTCTCTGGTCTCTCTGGTCTCTCTCTGGTCTCTCTGGTCCCTCCCTGGTCTCTCTCTGGTCTCTCCCTGGTCTCTCTCTGGTCTCTCTCTGGTCTCTCTCTGGTCCCTCTCTGGTCTCTCTCTGGTCTCTCTCTGGTCTCTCTGGTCTCTCTGGTCCCTCTCTGGTCTCTCTCTGGTCTCTCCCTGGTCCCCTGGTCTCTCCCTGGTCTCTCTCTGGTCTCTCTCTGGTCTCTCTCTGGTCTCTCTCTCTGGTCTCTCTCTGGTCTCTCTCTCTCTCTGGTCTCTCTGGTCTCTCTCTGGTCTCCCTGGTCTCTCCCTGGTCTCTCTCTGGTCTCTCTGGTCTCCCTGGTCTCTCTCTGGTCTCTCTCTGGTCTCTCTGGTCTCTCTCTGGTCTCTCTGGTCTCTCTGGTCTCTCTCTGGTCTCTCTGTGGTCTCTCCCTGGTCTCCCTGGTCTCTCCCCTGGTCTCTCTCTGGTCTCTCTCTGGTCTCTCTCTGGTCTCTCTCTCTGGTCTCTCTCTGGTCTCTCTCTGGTCTCTCTGGTCCCTCTCTGGTCTCTCTGGTCTCTCTGGTCTCTCTGGTCTCTCTGGTCTCTCTCTGGTCTCTCTGGTCCCTCTCTGGTCTCTCTGGTCTCTCTGGTCTCTCTGGTCCCTCTCTGGTCTCTCTCTGGTCTCTCCCTGGTCTCCCTGGTCTCTCCCTGGTCTCTCTCTGGTCTCTCTCTGGTCCCTCCCTGGTCTCCCTGGTCTCTCTCTGGTCTCTCTCTGGTCTCTCTCTGGTCTCTCTCTCTGGTCTCTCTCTGGTCTCTCTCTGGTCTCTCTGGTCTCTCTCTGGTCTCTCTGGTCTCTCTGGTCTCCCTGGTCTCTCTGGTCTCTCTGGTCTCTCTCTGGTCTCTCTGGTCCCTCTCTGGTCTCTCTGGTCTCTCTGGTCTCTCTGGTCTCTCTCTCTGGTCTCTCTCTGGTCTCTCTCTGGTCTCTCTGGTCTCTCTCTCTGGTCTCTCTCTGGTCTCTCTCTGGTCTCTCTGGTCTCTCTCTGGTCTCTCTGGTCTCTCTGGTCTCCCTGGTCTCTCTGGTCTCTCTGGTCTCTCTCTGGTCTCTCTGGTCCCTCTCTGGTCTCTCTGGTCTCTCTGGTCTCTCTGGTCTCTCTCTGGTCTCTCTGGTCTCTCTGGTCTCCCTGGTCTCTCTGGTCTCTCTGGTCTCTCTCTGGTCTCTCTGGTCCCTCTCTGGTCTCTCTGGTCTCTCTGGTCTCTCTGGTCTCTCTCTGGTCTCTCTCTGGTCTCTCCCTGGCCTCCCTGGTCTCTCCCTGGTCTCTCTCTGGTCTCTCTCTGGTCCCTCCCTGGTCTCCCTGGTCCCTCCCTGGTCTCTCTCTGGTCTCTCTGGTCTCTCTCTGAGTGTGATGTAGCCGTTTCCTCCGCAGGTCGACTATAACGCTGCTAACTGGCTGACGAAGAACATGGACCCTCTGAACGACAATGTGACGGCTCTGCTCAACAACTCGTCCAACAACTTCATCCAGGACCTGTGGAAAGACGGTGAGGACTGCACCAGGATTACCATAGGATTATTAGATATTACAATACTGGAAACCATGTGAGCTATTTTAATTAGCATATGGCTCACTCTAAACTAAACTGTACCAATGTGTTACATTTTGGTCAATGACAAGAAAAAGTCCCAAAATGTCCGTGGGTCGCTACAGCTGAATGTTTAGACTGTTTTGTTCCTTGTTTGTCCAGCAGAGGGGGCACTATGTAAACACAGATTCATTCACACTGTATTATTAACAGCTGCAGTCGTTTTGGACAAAAGTGGACACGATTGTTACGTCCAAAACGCTCAGTTTGTTGCAGTTATTGAATCATATTTTTTTGCACAATGTACAATCTATAATTACATATAGTTTATAGTTTTATCCCCAAACATCAGCCATGAAATAGTCTTCTGTCCTGTTCATTCTTCCTTCACAGCCTCCAACACGACATGGTCTGAATGTAACTGTGTCCCAAAAGTTCAATACATTTTTTTTAAAGACGTGAATTTTTATTGAAATAGTTTTAGCCGTCCATCTGAGATTATACTATATATAGATCTATAAACTACATAATATTAAAGTTTAGGTAGTTCATACATTTATTTTAAAATTGCTTGAGTTAGATGGACCAATGGTACAGTTTAGTTTGGAGTGACTTGGTGACGGTAAGGCTTGGCTCAAAATGTTCTATATTTAAATGAGGAGAATACGGAAGTAGTTTTGTTTAGGCCCTCCCTGAACACCCTCTGGGGTAAAGCCCACCCCTCTGCCACCGACCTTGGCGTCACCGTGGACAGTTGTTTAGCCTTGACACAGTCATCAAATCAGGCTTTTATCACATAGGTCCATTTTTATCTTTTAAACATTTTGAAGTCGTGCACGTTTTTATTTATTCACGTCTGGATTAATGTAATGCACTTTACTTTGGGATTTCACAGAAGGTACTTTCACGCTTAGGGTTAGGGTTAGTCAGTCAGTCCAGAATCCAATAAAGTGGATCAATCAAAAAGAATCAATCAATATTTTTTATAGAGCGCTTTTCCTTCACACAAAACACACATCATCACATAAATGATTCATAACAACTGAGCAGAGAAGAAGAAGAGTCCTGGGTCCTGAGTCCCGGGTCCTGAGTCCCGGGTCCTGAGTCCCGGGTCCTGAGTCCCGGGTCCTGAGTCCCGGGTCCTGAGTCCCGGGTCCTGAGTCCCGGGTCCTGAGTCCCGGGTCCTGAGTCCCGGGTCCTGAGTCCCGGGTCCTGAGTCCCGGGTCCTGAGTCCCGGGTCCTGGTCCCGGGTCCCGGGTCCCCGGGTCCCGGGTCCCGGGTCCCGAGTCCCGGGTCCCGAGTCCCGGGTCCCGAGTCCCGGGTCCCGAGTCCCGGGTCCCGAGTCCCGGACCCCGAGTCCCGGACCCCGAGTCCCGGACCCCGAGTCCCGGACCCTGAGTCCCGGGTCCTGAGTCCCGGACCCTGAGTCCCGGACCCTGAGTCCCGGACCCTGAGTCCCGGGTCCTGAGTCCTGGACCCTGAGTCCTGGTTCTAAATGTCTTGCTCCTCCTCTTTCAGCCGACCGTGTTGTGGGTCTGGACACTTTGACCAAGATGTCGGAGAGTTCTGCTCCGACCAAGTCCAAAAAGGGCATGTTCCGCACCGTGGGGCAGCTGTACAAAGAGTCTCTGGGGAAACTGATGACCACTCTGCACAACACGCAGCCAAACTTCGTCCGCTGCATCATCCCCAACCACGAGAAACGGGTAAAAGCACACACTACGCTCAAAACATGGAAGATTTAGACTTAGACTTAGACTTAGACTTAGATTTAGACTTAGACTTAGACTTTATTGATCCACAGAGAAATTACTGTGTCACAGTCACTTGCATAGTTCACAATAAAAATAAAAACTAAGGTTAAAGTAACAATCTAAAAATAATGAGATAATATTTGTGAGAATAGAAGAATCTGGAGTAGAAGTACTCATGAATATACATATCTGTGAATAAGTACATTTACAGAATAAAATACACAGAAAAGAGGATAATATGTGTTAATCTGAGAGAGAATAAAGGTTTATCTACAATATATACAAGGACAAAGCAGCAGATTTAAGCACCCAAGCTTTAATAAGTCTGTTTAATCTCTGCAGCTGTATGTTTTTGACCCTGTGTATGTGTGTCTGGGTGGATCTCTGCAGCTGTATGTTTTTGACCCTGTGTGTGTGTCTGTGGATCTCTGCAGCTGTATTTTTTTATCCTGTGTGTGTGTATGTCTGTGGATCTCTGCAGCTGTATTTTTTTGATCCTGTGTGTGTCTATGTCTGTGGATCTTTGCAGCTGTATGTTTTTGACCCTGTGTGTGTGTCTGTGGATATCTGCAGCTGTATGTTTTTGACACTGTGTGTGTGTGTCTGTGGATCTCCGCAGCTGTATGTTTTTGACCCTGTGTGTGTGTGGATCTCTGCAGCTGTATGATATTGACCTTGTGTGTGTGTGTCTGTGGATCTCTGCAGCTGTATGTTTTTGACCCTGTGTGTGTGTGGATCTCTGCAGCTGTATGATATTGACCTTGTGTGTGTGTGTCTGTGGATCTCTGCAGCTGTATGTTTTTGACCCTGTGTGTCTGTGGATCTCTGCAGCTGTATGTTTTTGACCCCTGTGTGTGTGTGTCTGTGGATCTCCGCAGCTGTATGTTTTTGACCCTGTGTGTGTCTGTGGATCTCTGCGGCTGTATGTTTTTGACCCTGTGTGTGTCTGTGGATCTCTGCGGCTGTATGTTTTTGACCCTGTGTGTGTGTGTCCGGGTGGATCTCTGCAGCTGTATGTTTTTGACCCTGTGTGTGTGTCTGTGGATCTGTGCAGCTGTATGTTTTTGATCCTGTGTGTGTGTGTGTGTCTGTGGATCTCTGCAGCTGTATGTTTTTGACCCTGTGTGTCTGTGGATCTCTGCAGCTGTATGTTTTTGACCCTGTGTGTCTGTGGATCTCTGCAGCTGTATGTTTTTGACCCTGTGTGTCTGTGGATCTTTGCAGCTGTATGTTTTTGACCCTGTGTGTCTGTGGATCTCTGCACCTGTATTTTTTTGACCCTGTGTGTCTGTGGATCTGTGCAGCTGTATGTTTTTGACCCTGTGTGTCTGTGGATCTGTGCAGCTGTATGTTTTTGACCCTGTGTGTCTGTGGATCTCTGCAGCTGTATGTTTTTGACCCTGTGTGTCTGTGGATCTCTGCAGCTGTATGTTTATGACCCTGTGTGTCTGTGGATCTCTGCAGCTGTATGTTTATGACCCTGTGTGTCTGTGGATCTGTGCAGTCGGGGAAGATGGACGCTCAGCTGGTGTTGGAGCAGCTGAGGTGTAACGGGGTCCTGGAGGGAATCCGCATCTGCAGACAGGGCTTCCCCAACCGCATCGTGTTCCAGGAGTTCAGGCAGAGGCAAGAAACACGTCTGTAACGCGGAGGTGTCTGTGGATCAGAAACACGTCTGTAACGCTGAGGTGTCTGTGGATCAGAAACACGTCTGTAACGCTGAGGTGTCTGTGGATCAGAAACACGTCTGTAACGCTGAGGTGTCTGTGGATCAGAAACACGTCTGTAACGCTGAGGTGTCTGTGGATCAGAAACACGTCTGTAACGCTGAGGTGTCTGTGGATCAGAAACACGTCTGTAACGCTGAGGTGTCTGTGGATCAGAAACACGTCTGTAACGCTCAGGTGTCTGTGGATCAGAAACACGTCTGTAACGCTAGGTGTCTGTGGATCAGAAACACGTCTGTAACGCTGAGGTGTCTGTGGATCAGAAACACGTCTGTAACGCTGAGGTGTCTGTGGATCAGAAACACGTCTGTAACGCTGAGGTGTCTGTGGATCAGAAACACGTCTGTAACGCTGAGGTGTCTGTGGATCAGAAACACGTCTGTAACGCTGAGGTGTCTGTGGATCAGAAACACGTCTGTAACGCTGAGGTGTCTGTGGATCAGAAACACGTCTGTAACGCTGAGGTGTCTGTGGATCAGAAACACGTCTGTAACGCTGAGGTGTCTGTGGATCAGAAACACGTCTGTAACGCTGAGGTGTCTGTGGTTTGTCCCACAGAAAAAGTCAAGTACAAAGCTTTGAACAAATCAGGCCAAAATCTGATGTTTTCTCCTCATATGAAAACATGTATCTTTTGCAAACTTGTCAGAAAGAGTTCTCTGAGTCACTATTTGACTGTTTGGGCTGAAAAAGCTGATCTGACGTGACAGAGGTCATGTGAAAACTGGGGATCGAAGCAAACAGCTTTTAGAGCAAGGAATAAGTTAGATTGTAGTTTAAAGCAGCAGTTTGTAAACATGTGGCCAACAGTGGTACTGCAGCCTCTCCCACTCTCCCTGACTCAGGTTGCCAGATATGCAGACGAATCCAGCTGGGACCATAACAGCTGAATAGACAAGAGTTTTGTCAACAACAAATCTATAACCAACACCTTTTTCACAAAGATAGAAATCCTGGTTTTATTCCTTGTTTTGTCGTTAATGATTTGAGAATCATAACGAGACCTTTTTTAGTTCTGCCCCACATGGTACTTTGCCAGTGAGATTAGCTCCACATGGTACTTTACCAGTGACATTAGCTCCACGCGGTGAGTTCTGGCGCCCGGATCACAGACTTTCTGATTGGTGAAACGATGGAGGGCGGGACATCGAAATGAAAACAATAACAAGATTTAGGGACTGGAAAAGTAATTTAGAAATTCAAATATCTCTGAACTACTGTTATCAGTTAAAGAAGTATTGGAAAAGAGCAGTTTATTATTATGACAGATTAGGGCCCTTTAATGATGACAGATTAGGGCCCTTTAATGAGGACAGATTAGGGTCCTTTAATGACGACATATTAGGACCCTTTAATGATGACAGATTAGCGTATGATGGCGCATACTGGTTGCCTCGCTTCTGTCAGTGTGCCCCAGGGCAGCTGTGGCTACAGTAGTAGTTTATCACCACCGTGTATGGAGTGAATGAATAATGACATGTGAAGCGTCTTTGAGTGTCCAAAAAAGCGCTATATAAAACCGATGCATTATTATTATTCATTATTATTATTAGGGCCCTTTAATGATGACAGATTAGGGCCTTTTAATGATGACAGATTAGGGCCCTTTAATGATGACATATTTGAGCCCTTTAATGATGACAGATTAGGGCCCTTTAATGATGACAGATTAGGGCCCTTTAATGATGACATATTTGAGCCCTTTAATGATGACAGATTAGGGCCCTTTAATGATGACAGATTAGGCCCTTTATAGACGACAGATTCGGGCCCTTTAATGATGACAGATTAGGGCCCTTTAATGATGACAGATTAGGGCCCTTTAATGATGACAGATTAGGGCCCTTTAATGATGACAGATTAGGCCCTTTAATGACGACAGATTCGGGCCCTCTAATAATGACAGATTAGGGCCCATTAATGACGACAGATTAGGCCCTTTAATGATGACAGATTAGGGCCCTTTAAAGACGACAGATTAGGGCACTTTAATGAGTACTTGACATGAAAATCTTACATATTTCTACTTTAAACAAGATTCAAGTCCTGTGTTGTTAAAGATAAATCTAGATGGGTGAGATTGAGTGTTCAGGTGCTTGGCTCAAACCGCTACAGTCAACATTTGTGGATTAATGAAACTGTTTTGGAATAACCTGACACACACCATTAGTGAGACATCCTCAGACTGAAATGGAAACAAAGGCATTGTTCAGATATTATATGAAGAGAACCTGAATGTGTGGATGAAGTTCTGTATGTTTCTTTGTGGCAGATACGAGATCCTGGCGGCGAATGCGATTCCTAAAGGCTTCATGGACGGGAAGCAGGCCTGCTGTCTGATGGTGAGGCCTCAGAGTGTGTTGTTCTCTAAGACTAATAAAGTGGTGCAGATGTGAAAATGCTTCTGCTCAGAATCAGAGCTAGTACAGACTATTATGCCTTTGATTTGATTTGAGAGGGAATTTTCTCTTCCACTGCATCCAAACTAAAAGACTAAACCTGGACTAGAACAGAACCTCGTTTACTTTTGACCTCAAACTGAGCTTTGTGATCGCAGCCCACGTCTAAACACATGTCTCTGTAGGACTTTTATCTTACAGAGAGCCTCGGACTTTTTCCCTCTTTGTTTTCCATAATAGTCCCCCATAGATCCTCGAAGGGCACCTGACCTGTTTGTTCTGCATTTTCTGATCCCTGTCCACACTCGTTCCGCTTGTAATGTTCAAATTACTTTTTTTTACTCATGAATGCACTGGAAACGGCAGCAATTCAGCATTTTTCCCTGGAACAGAGAAGAGAAAATGGTCTGAACCAGGCGGCTCCGCCCTCTCTGCTGCTGTGATCTAAAGTGCTATACGTGTTTCTGCTGCTTCTGGACACCTGCATTTCTCCAACGGGGATCAATAAAATATCTCTCTATCTATCTATCTATCTATCTAGCTCTTTATCTATCTATCTATCTATCTATCTATCTATCTATCTATCTATCTATCTATCTATCTATCTATCTCTCTATCTATCTATCTCTCTATCTATCTATCTATCTATCTATCTATGTATCTATCTATCTATCTATCTATCTATCTATCTATCTATCTAGCTCTTTATCTATCTATCTATCTATCTATCTATCTATCTATCTATCTCTCTATCTATCTCTCTATCTATCTATCTATCTATCTATCTATCTATGTATCTATCTATCTATCTATCTATCTATCTATCTATCTATCTATCTATCTATCTATCTATCTATCTATCTATCTATCTATCTATCTATCTATCTATCTATCTATCTATCTATCTCTCTATCTATCTCTCTATCTATCTATCTATCTATCTATCTCTCTATCTATCTCTCTATCTATCTATCTAACCATCTATCTAACCATGAAACCTCCTGGCTCCTGTGTCCAGATGAAGCACTTGGACTTGGACTCAAACCTGTTCCGTATCGGTCAGAGTAAGATGTTCTTCAGGACCGGAGTCTTGGCTCAGCTGGAGGAAGAGCGGGACCTCAAACTCACCGTCGTCATCATCGCCTTCCAGGCCCAGGCCAGAGGGTTCCTCGCACGCAAGTAAACACAACACTACACTACACTACAACACTACACTACACTTCAAAAACACATTTGTGCATCAGCTGCACGAGCTCCATTCATTTAAACGAGAGACTTCTAAAGTCCACAGCGACTAAACTAGACTGGTCCAGAACACTCAGCATTGACACACATGTGGAACGGAGCTTTGGACCAAGAGACAACTTTTGGACCATCCTGTAAAGACGTTTTCCAGAGGTAAGAAGATGCTATTTGTTAGCATTGGCTAATTCTTATTCCAGGTCCGCCCCCACAGGCCCGGGGTGGTACTGCAGCATGTCAGCACACTTCATTTTGAACCTTTTTGATCTGGGACCCGCTCCCATTGGTTTGTTGTCAAACCACTGCAGGTTGTGATTCAAACTAGAGACAAACACTCCATGAATGTGTTTTAATGACACACAAATGAACGGATAAATACCACTATTATGATATTGTTTTTCAGGGCGTTCAGCAAACGTCAGCAGCAGCTCACCGCCATGAAGGTGATCCAGAGAAACTGTGCTTGTTATTTAGTCCTGAGGAACTGGCAGTGGTGGAGGCTCTTCACCAAGGTACGAGGTACCTCTGTATGGAATATTATCACTGTTTGTTTTGGCGTGGTCGTTCTATTTCCTGTTTTATAACATGATGTATATATGATGTGTTCCTTGTACTTCTGTCTTATAGAAACACATTGTGAATGAAGTGGTGTGTTGCAGGTGAAGCCGCTGCTGCAGGTGACGCGACAGGAAGAGGAAATGGGGCAGAAGGAGGAGGAGCTAAAGGCGGCGAAGGAGTCGGCGACGAAAGCTGAGGCTGAACTCAGGGACGTCACTCAGAAACACAGCCAGGTCTGAGTCTGCGGGACGTGACTCTTAACCTTCTGCTATCCTCGAGTCAATAGGATTCAAGATTTGAGAATTTATTTGCCATTTGCAGTAAAACCACATTGGAAAAACTGTGCAAGACTCCCCCAGTGTGAACCAGGATAGCGATTTGTCACGCCACAGTGACTTACATACGTATTTTAGATACTTTTACACCCAAATTTACTAAAAAGGTGTCTTAGGAAACTTCATCGAAAATCAGCCAAAAAAAAGTATTCAGGGTATTTTTTCAATCACTGTGGCAGATCATTTTGACCCGAGGATAGCACCAGGGTTAAAAAAAAGGGGTTAAAAATGTTTGAATAGATTTTGAAAGTCTGAAGTTCTTTTTACTCATTTTTTCCGTCTTTCCCATGGTGAAAAGCTGACACGGGTCCAAACAACAGGCCTCCCTCCCCACAGTTGTCTTGGGTCAACAGTTAGTGTCACAGTTTATGATGTGTATGTTTTTATGGTGTGCAGCTGTTGGAGGAGCGCGCTGCTCTGGAGTTGCGGCTTCAGGCGGAGACAGAGCTCTACGCTGAGGCCGAGGAGATGAGGCTGAGGCTGGAGACCAAGCACCAGGAGCTGGAGGAGGTGCTGCGGGAGATGGAAGTGCGCCTGGAGGAGGAGGAGGAGAGGGCCACTACTCTGCACGACCACAAGAGGGAGCTAGAGCAGCAGCTACAGGTGCAGGCCTGAACACGTCTCTGTCGTGATGAGTTTGGATTATTCTTTACTCTGTGTTTTCCCGACAGCACGCAGAGTCTCACATCGCGGAGCAGGAAGACGCCTTCCAGAAACTGCAGCTGGAGAAAAACACTTTTGAAACTAAAATGAAGAAGATGGAGGAGGAGCTTCTGATGATGGACGACCACAACAACAAGACACTAAAGGTCTGGATCTAAACCAGGACGAGAGCTTAAAGTTCTGATCCAAATCTAAAGATGGTTTTAGACTTTTACATAAAGTTTACATTTGTTTGTTTGATGCAGACGGTCCACATGAAACACTACAACACCAAGTCTCTGAAGAACATTAACATTTATACAAAGCTCTCAGGGCACAGATGGTCACATGACCTGCTGGTTTTTAGAAATCACTTCAGTTTAAAGTGAACCAGCCCAAGTTCACTTTAGTTGAAGACACACGAAAGGATCTCGGAGTAGAGCCGCTGCTTCTCCACGTGGAGAGCAGCCAGTTGAGGTGAATTGGGCATCCACCTGGAGGAGACCGGGGTAAGACCCAGGACCTGCTTGAGGGACTGTCTCTCAGCTGGCCTGGCCTGTTCTGGCCTGGCCTGGCCCCTGGATGAGCTGGAGGAAGTGCGTGTGTGGAGAGGGAAGTCTGTCTCTGCTTGGACCAAATGTATGAATGGATGGACTCTAAAATGTTTTCTTCTTCCTAAATGGGCCTGTCATAAAAGAATGTAAACGTTGATCCTGTTTCTGACTTGGTGCTTTCAGATCCTGCAGGACATCAGACATTAATACAATCATTACAGGATTTGATGAATGATAAAAAGTGCAGCACCTGAGTTCTTCTGGCCTTTGTCTCTGTTGTAGATGATTCTCACTCAAACTGAAATCTCAAATGAACTGTTTTTCAGGAGAAGAAGTCGCTGGAGGAGAGACTCGCCGACATGACGTCGAACTTAACTGAGGAAGAAGAGAAATCCAAGAACTTAACCAAACTCAAAACCAAACACGAGTCTATGATCTCGGAGCTGGAGGGTCAGTGAACGCACCACGCTCACGACGACGTCCAACTCTGGAATCTTTAGAACAAAAGCAGTTTACTGAGCTCCGTAGTCCTGCCTCTCTGGTCCATGGTGTATTTATATATTTGTGAGCTACAGGCAGATGAATGTCATGGTTGCAGTGCCTTATTAAAGCTGGGATACCTTTCTTTCATCCATCCATCCATCCATTTTCTTCCGCTTTATCCGTTGCCGGGTTGCGGGGGCAGCAGTCTAAGCAGAGACGCCCAGACTTCCCTATCCACACACACTTCCTCCAGCTCGTCCGGGGGGACCCCAAGGCGTTCCCAGGCCAGCTGAGAGACATAGTCCCTCCAGCGTGTCCTGGGTCTTCCCCGGGGCCTCCTCCCGGTGGGACGTGCCCGGAACACCTCCCCAGGGAGGCGTCCAGGAGGCATCCGGAACAGATGCCCGAGCCACCTCAACTGGTTCCTCTCGACGTGGAGTAGCAGCGGTTCTACTCCGAGCTCCTCCCGTGTGACTGAGCTCCTCACCCTGTCTCTAAGGGAGCGCCCAGCCACTCTGCGGAGGAAGCTCATTTCGACCGCTTGTATCCGCGATCTCGTTCTTTCGGTCATTACCCAAAGCTCATGACCATAGGTGAGGGAGGGAACGAAGATTGACCGGTAAATCGAGAGCTTCGCCTTTCGGCTCAGCTCCCTCTTCACCACAACGGTCCGATACAGCGACCGCATAACTGCGCACGCTTACCTTTCTTTCAAACTACAAAATCAATAAATATGTTATAAAATCTGGAGAGCCGACGCCCAGACACCCCCTGTGCCGACTTTTATATTTAAAGAACATTTGGTCAATTTTGGAGTTCATCTCTCTCTGTGCAGACATTGTTTCCACTTATAATTTGAGTCAAAACTACTGGACCTCAGCATCTCAAAGAGACCAGCCGCGTGTTTAGACTCCAAAGGATTCTCAAACCGAATCAGTTGAAATTGTAATGATAATATTCTCTGTATTCTAATCAAATCTGTAATAAATGGTGTTTCTCATTTTCTTCTATAAACACAAAGAGACGCCTAAATTGTAGCAAAGGGACAAATGTTGAGATTAAAAGGAGCAGTTTTTGTCTGTGTGGTCGACAGTGCGTCTGAAGAAGGAGGAGAAAAGCCGTCAGGACGTGGAAAAGGCCAAGAGGAAAGTGGAGGCGGAGCTTATGGAGACGCAGGAGCAGAACAACGACCTGCAGAGACAGCTGGAGGAGCTGAGAGCGCAGCTCACAGGCCGGGAGGAGGAACTGCAGGCCACCAGCGCACGGTACAGAGACAACATTCACTTTATTTACCATTTACAGTAAAACCACATTGGAATACATGCCTGACAAGTATATGAAAGAACAAGAAATAAGAGGGAGGAAGAGGGAAGGAAAGTTTATTTAAGTTGCTCAGTTCATACACAAGGGTTTTACAATTCCCTAATGACTCGTTTACTCAAGTATGTGCACACTGGGTGACTTTTGCTGTATTCTAATGTGGTTTTACTGCAAATGGGAACAACATGAATCTGAATCTGATCTTATTCTAGAAAGGAAACGTTCAAACTGGATTTATGTTTAGTCCTGACTCTGGGACCAGCTGGAGTCCAGTCCCTGTGCTCCTCAGAGTCCCAGCAGGAGGCCAGTCCCTGTGCTCCTCAGAGTCCCAGCAGGAGGCCAGTCCCTGTGCTCCTCAGAGTCCAGCAGGAGGCCAGACACTAACACCATGGAGACAAACAGAGCTGTTTTAAAGTCTATTCTCTGAGCCACAGGTACAGGGACCTGAGACCAGGTCTGTGATGGTACTTCCTGGTTCTAGTCAGGACTAATGTGATGGTACTTCCTGGCTCTAGTCAGGACTAATGTGATGGTACTTCCTGGTTCTAGTCAGGACTAATGTGATGGTACTTCCTGGTTCTAGTCTGGACTAATGTGATGGTACTTCCTGGTTCTAGTCAGGACTAATGTGATGGTACTTCCTGGTTCTAGTCTGGACTAATGTGATGGTACTTCCTGGTTCTAGTCTGGACTAATGTGATGGTACTTCCTGGTTCTAGTCAGGACTAATGTGATGGTACTTCCTGGTTCTAGTCTGGACTCAAGCTGTATTTGGAGAGAGCAGTGAGGTTGTTACAGTCGTCTAACCAGGAGACAAAAGCAGGATAAAAAGTGTGCTATAGACACTACACATTCTTTGATTGATTTTAGATGATAAAAAGAGCTGGACTTACATATTTGTCTGATATTAGCATCGATGGATCTAAAGGCGTGTCGTTGTGTGAGAGGTACTTTACAAATGCACTTTCTTCTTTCTCCATCGTGTTGTCGGCAGCCTGGAGGAGGAGAGCGCCCAGCGAGCGTTGGCGGTGAAGCGGGTGCGGGATCTGGAGGGTCTTCTGACGGAGCTGCAGGAGGACGTGGAGAGAGAGCGATCGCACAGAAACAAGAGCGAAGCCGCGAGACGAGAGCTGGAGACGGAGCTGCACCATCTGAGGAGCGAGCTGGAGGACAGTCTGGACACTACTGCAGCCCAACAGGAACTACGGTCTGTCTGGTTTCTCTCTGGTCTCTCTCTGGTCTCTCTCTGGTCTCTCTCTCTGGTCTCTCTCTCTGGTCTCTCTCTGGTCTCTCTCTCTGGTCTCTCTCTGGTCTCTCTCTGGTCTCTCTCTGGTCTCTGTCTCTCTCTGGTCTCTCTCTCTCTGGTCTCGGCTCTCCTGGTCTCTCTCTGGTCTCTCTCTGGTCTCTCTCTGGTCTCTCTCTCTGGTCTCTCTCTGGTCTCTCTCTGGTCTCTCTCTGGTCTCTCTCTGGTCTCTCTCTGGTCTCTCTCTGGTCTCTCTCTGGTCTCTCTCTGGTCTCTCTCTGGTCCCTCTCTGGTCTCTCTCTCTCTCCGGTCTCTCTCTCTCTCTCTGGTCTCTCTCTGGTCTCTCTCTGGTCTCTCTCTGGTCTCTCTCTGGTCTCTCTCTCTGGTCTCTCTCTGGTCTCTCTCTGGTCTCTCTCTGGTCTCTCTCTGGTCTCTCTCTGGTCTCTCTCTCTGGTCTCTCTCTGGTCTCTCTCTGGTCTCTCTCTGGTCTCTCTCTGGTCTCTCTCTGGTCTCTCTCTGGTCTCTCTCTGGTCTCTCTCTGGTCTCTCTCTGGTCTCTCTCTGGTCTCTCTCTGGTCTCTCTCTGGTCTCCTCATGTGTCTGTTGCTGTGGACAGAGTGAAGCGGGAGCAGGAGGTGCTGATGCTGAGGAGGTCCATGGAGGAGGAGGTCCGAGCTCACGAGGCCCAGATCCAGGACCTCAGACAGAGACAGAACCAGAGCCTGGAGGAGCTGAGCGAGCAGCTGGAGCAGGCCAAGAGGGTACGGACTAAAGCAGGACTAAAGCAGGTCTAAAGCAGGACTAAAGCAGGACTAAAGCAGGTCTAAAGCAGGACTAAAGCAGGTCTAAAGCAGGACTAAAGCAGGACTAAAGCAGGACTAAAGCAGGTCTAAAGCAGGACTAAAGCAGGTCTAAAGCAGGACTAAAGCAGGACTAAAGCAGGTCTAAAGCAGGTCTAAAGCAGGACTAAAGCAGGACTAAAGCAGGTCTAAAGCAGGTCTAAAGCAGGACTAAAGCAGGACTAAAGCAGGTCTAAAGCAGGTCTAAAGCAGGACTAAAGCAGGAGCAGGTCTAAAGCAGGTCTAAAGCAGGACTAAAGCAGGACTAAAGCAGGTCTAAAGCAGGTCTAAAGCAGGTCTAAAACAGGACTAAAGCAGGTCTAAAGTAGGACTAAAGCAGGTCTAAAGCAGGACTAAAGCAGGTCTAAAGCAGGTCTAAAGCAGGTCTAAAGCAGGACTAAAGCAGGTCTAAAGCAGGACTAAAGCAGGACTAAAGCAGGTCTAAAGCAGGTCTAAAACAGGACTAAAGCAGGACTAAAGCAGGACTAAAGCAGGACTAAAGCAGGACTAAAGCAGGACTAAAGCAGGACTAAAGCAGGACTAAAGCAGGTCTAAAGCAGGTCTAAAACAGGGCTAAAACAGGACTAAAGCAGGACTAAAGCAGGAGTAAAGCAGGTCTAAAGCAGGTCTAAAGCAGGTCTAAAGCAGGTCTAAAGCAGGACTAAAGCAGGAGTAAAGCAGGTCTAAAGCAGGTCTAAAGCAGGTCTAAAGCAGGACTAAAGCAGGTCTAAAGCAGGTCTAAAGCAGGTCTAAAGCAGGACTAAAGCAAACTGTTCTGAGACCGAGGAGAAGTCAGGGACCCCAGCTTTAACCAGGACCTAACTTGAATGAAACCAAGACCGAACCAGGACCGAACCAGGACCAAACCAGGACCGAACAAGGACCCCACAGTAACCCGGGTGTGTTTGTGTGTGTGTCTGTGTCTGTCTATCTGTGTGTCTCTGTGTGTCTCTGTGTGTCTCTGTGTGTCTCTGTGTGTCTCTGTGTGTCTTTGTGTGTCTTTGTGTGTCTTTGTGTGTCTCTGTGTGTCTCTGTGTGTCTCTGTGTGTCTCTGTGTGTGTCTCTGTGTGTCTCTGTGTGTCTCTGTGTGTCTCTGTGTGTCTCTGTGTGTCTTTGTGTGTCTTTGTGTGTCTTTGTGTGTCTCTGTGTGTCTCTGTGTGTCTCTGTGTGTCTCTGTGTGTCTCTGTGTGTTTCTGTGTGTCTTTGTGTGTGTGTCTCTGTGTGTGTCTGTCTGTGTTGTGTGTCAGGTGCGCTCCGGGCTGGAGAAGACCAAGCAGTCTCTGGAGAAGGAGGCCTCGGAGATGAGAGCCGACCTACAGACTCTGTCCAGCTCCAAACAGGAAGTGGAACACAGGAAGAAGAAGGTGGAAGCCCAACTGTCCGAGCTGCAGATGAGGTTCAGCGAAGGCGAGAGGCAGAGGAGCGAGCTGGGGGAGAGAGTCAGCAAGATGACCGTGAGTCTGGGACTGGGAACAACCTTCTGACCGTGTTATTTTAGTTGGCAATAGCCATGTCCTTTACTACTTTTTTCATATGCTTTTCATCTGTACTTAGTTTGATACCAAAACCTGCCATATACTATGTAACATCTCGATAGATAGATTTTCTCTGCTCTGGTCCAAAGTAAAATGATAAATGCTTTAATAGCATTTTTCAAAAAGTTAGCATTCCTCCAGTGGAATTTCACTCACACTCGTGGAATTTCACTCACATCTTGGATCAGCCCCGCTGATCCAAGATGGCCCCTGTTCAAATGAATGTCTTGTGCTCAGCAGGACATAGGACTTCACAGGCGCTGACATATCAGAGGAACCCGCCCATATTTGGGCATCGTCTGGTCCTCCCGGTTCTGTGCAGTGGACGAGCTCCCATGATGCTTTGTGCCAAATACGTGTGTGTGTGGCTCTCATGCACGTGCACAGAAGAGCTCTGCCTCTGACCAATCAGAGCTGATCAGAGCAGCAGCAGGGCGGAGTCAGAGCGGGAAGCAAAGGAGCAGAGTTTGTGGCACTAAAGTGTGGATTTAAAGAAAACAGAAGGATTTAAGAAGAAAATAAGTTCAGGACGACAAGAGACACTAACATCCACACTAGATCTGATCTTTATGAAAGCTGTAGGTTCTCTGTCAGGTTCTCAGTCAGGTTCTCTGTCAGGTTCTCTGTCAGGTTCTCTGTCAGGTTCTCTGTAGGTTCTCTGTCAGGTTCTCAGTCAGGTTCTCTGTAGGTTCTCTGTCAGGTTCTCTGTCAGGTTCTCTGTCAGGTTCTCAGTCAGGTTCTCTGTAGGTTCTCTGTCAGGTTCTCAGTCAGGTTCTCTGTAGGTTCTCTGTCAGGTTCTCTGTCAGGTTCTCTGTCAGGTTCTCTGTCAGGTTCTCTGTCAGGTTCTCTGTAGGTTCTCTATCAGGTTCTCTGTCAGGTTCTCTGTCAGGTTCTCTGTCAGGTTCTCAGTCAGGTTCTCTGTAGGTTCTCTGTAGGTTCTCTGTCAGGTTCTCTGTCAGGTTCTCTGTCAGGTTCTCTGTAGGTTCTCTGTCAGGTTCTCTGTCAGGTTCTCAGTCAGGTTCTCTGTAGGTTCTCTGTCAGGTTCTCTGTCAGGTTCTCTGTAGGTTCTCTATCAGGTTCTCTGTCAGGTTCTCAGTCAGGTTCTTAGTCAGGTTCTCAGTCAGATGAGGTCGAGCTGTTTTAGTTTACATTGAGTTCTACGGGACTTTTTTCTGGTTAACCCACGTGAATTTAGTCTGCAGCACCACAGCGCCCCCTGTGGCCATGGGTGGAACAGTTATTATAGATCCATGGTTTCACCTGATCCACTTGGTTCGGACCATGAATCCTCTCTGTTATAATTGCACTAGTTTTATTACGTTGGTCCAAAGACGACTACAGCCATATCCACAGGGATGAAGTTTAGTGATTTATGCTCAAAGGTAAAACAAATGGAGTCTATAAAAAGTAAGATTGTAGTTTTTGGTCCTTTTCTTTATTTTTTCTTTACCCTATGATAGAAAAGTTTATACCAATGCAGAGAGACCATCGAGGATCAGGGGAACACTACAGACTTTCCTTCTGACATGTTTGTAACAAATATCTTTATTTTGTTTCAGATGGAGCTGGAAACGGTGAACAGTTTGTTGAACGAAGCCGAAAACAAAAACATCAAACTGAGCAAAGAAGTGTCCGGCCTCAGCTCCCAACTGCAGGACGTCCAGGTGCATAGACTAAACACACATATATACAAACACACACAAACACACACAGACACAGACACAGACACACACACACACTCACACTCACACACACACACACACACACACACACACACACACACACACACACACACACACACACTCTCGTACACAAACACACACAGACACACACACACAGACACAGACACACACACACACACACACACACAGACACTGACACACACACACGCACACACTCACACATACATACACGCACAGACACACACACACACACACACATATTCTCAAAGAATAAGGGTGGGCGCATTTCTCCCCGGGAGAGAGCGCATGAAATCTGTCTTGAAAAAGAGCAATGACAGGTCCCAGAACCAAGGGGAGTCCCTGGAGGTTTTAACCCCGAAAAAAGCCCTTAAATCCGGCTTAAAATAGGGCCATGCGGGTCCCAGAACCGAGGGGATTCTGTGGAGGTTCTATCCCCGAAAAAAGCTTAGAAATCCGGACATAAATGCAGCACTGGCAAGCCTGAGACCCAGGGTGGGTCCTCGGAGGTTTTAACCCCAAAAAAAGCCCTGAAGTACGGCTTGAAATAGAGCCATCACAGGCCTGGTGCTCCAAGCAAATGTGAAAATAATTCTAAGTGCTGTGGGCAGGATTCGAACCTGCGTGGGAGGACCTCAATGACTCCCCATTCCATCGCCTTTGCCACTCGGCCACAGCGAGCCCAGTACTACAGCATAGACACTTAGGTTTTTTGGCAAAACACTTAGGCTGATTTGTAGGCTGAGAGGTGGGAAAGGCCTGGTTCTCCAGGGGGGCTATGTTCATGTGTGGGGGCTACCAGGACCTCCAGGCCGGTTAGGGTTAGGTCTGGGGAGGGCCTGGGTCTCCATGGGGGTTAAGGTTAGGTGTGGGGAAGGCCTGGACCTCCATCGGGGTTAAGGTTAGGTGTGGGGAAGCCCAGGACCTCCAGGGGGGCTATGTGCAGGCGTGGGGGCGGCCTGGATCTCCAGGGGGGCTATATGCAGGCGTGGGGGCGGCCTGGATCTCCATGGGGGTTAAGGTTAGGTGTGGGGAGGGCCTGGATCTCCATGGGGGTTAAGGTTAGGTGTGGGGAAGGCCTGGATCTCCATGGGGGTTAAGGTTAGGTGTGGGGAAGGCCTGGACCTCCAGGGGGGCTATGTGCAGGCGTGGGGGGCGGCCTGGATCTCCTTGGGGGTTAAGGTTAGGTGTGGGGAAGGCCTGGATCTCCATGGGGGTTAGGGTTAGGTGTGGGGAGGGCCTGGATCTCCGTGGGGGTTAAGGTTAGGTGTGGGGGCGGCCTTGACCTCCAGGGGGGCTATGTGCAGGCGTGGGGGCGGCCTGGATCTCCATGGGGGTGAAGGTTAGGTGTGGGGAAGGCCTGGACCTCCAGGGTGGCTATGTGCAGGCGTGGGGGGCGGCCTGGATTTCTATGGGGGTTAAGGTTAGGTGTGGGGAAGGCCTGGACCTCCAGGGGGGCTATGTGCAGGCGTGGGGGCGGCCTGGATCTCCATGGGGGTTAAGGTTAGGTGTGGGGAAGGCCTGGACCTCCAGGGGGGCTATGTGCAGGCGTGGGGGGCGGCCTGGATCTCTATGGGGGTTATGGTTAGGTGTGGGGAAGGCCTGGACCTCCATGGGGGTTAAGGTTAGGTGTGGGGAAGCCCAGGACCTCCAGGGGGGCTATGTGCAGGCGTGGGGGGCGGCCTGGATCTCCAGGGGGGCTATGTGCAGGTGTGGGGAAGGCCTGGATCTCCTTGGGGGTTAGGGTTAGGTGTGGGGAAGGCCTGGACCTCCAGGGGGGCTATGTGCAGGCGTGGGGGGCGGCCTGGATCTCCATGGGGGTTAAGGTTAGGTGTGGGGAGGGCCTGGATCTCCATGGGGGTTAAGGTTAGGTGTGGGGAAGCCCAGGACCTCCAGGGGGGCTATGTGCAGGCGTGGGGGGCGGCCTGGATCTCCATGGGGGTTAAGGTTAGGTGTGGGGAGGGCCTGGATCTCCATGGGGGTTAAGGTTAGGTGTGGGGAAGGCCTGGATCTCCATGGGGGTTAAGGTTAGGTGTGGGGAAGGCCTGGTTCTCCAGGGGGGCTATGTGCAGGCGTGGGGGCGGCCTGGATCTCCATGGGGGCTAAGGTTAGGTGTGGGGAGGGCCTGGATCTCCATGGGGGTTAAGGTTAGGTGTGGGGAAGGCCTGGACCTCCGGAGGGGCTATGTGCAGGCTTGGGGGCGGCCTGGATCTCCGTGGGGGTTAAGGTTAGGCGTGGGGAAGGCCTCGACCTCCAGAGGGGCTATGTGCAGGCGTGGGGGCGGCCTGGATCTCCATGGGGGTTAAGGTTAGGTGTGGGGAAGGCCTGGATCCCCATGGGGGTTAAGGTTAGGTGTGGGGAAGGCCTGGATCTCCATGGGGGTTAAGGTTAGGTGTGGGGAGGGCCTGGATCTCCGTAGGGGTTAAGGTTAGGTGTGGGGAGGGCCTGGATCTCCATGGGGGTTAAGGTTAGGTGTGGGGAGGGCCTGGGTCTCCATGGGGGTTAAGGTTAGGTGTGGGGAAGGCCTGGACCTCCAGGGGGGCTATGTGCAGGCGTGGGGGGCGGCCTGGATCTCCATGGGGGTTAAGGTTAGGTGTGGGGAAGCCCTGGACCTCCAGGGGGGCTATGTGCAGGCGTGGGGGGCGGCCTGGATCTCCATGGGGGTTAAGGTTAGGTGTGGGGAGGGCCTGGATCCCCATGGGGGTTAAGGTTAGGTGTGGGGAAGGCCTGGATCTCCATGGGGGTTAAGGTTAGGTGTGGGGAGGGCCTGGATCTCCATGGGGGTTAAGGTTAGGTGTGGGGAAGGCCTGGACCTCCAGGGGGGCTATGTGCAGGCGTGGGGGGCGGCCTGGATCTCCATGGGGGTTAAGGTTAGGTGTGGGGAGGGCCTGGATCCCCATGGGGGTTAAGGTTAGGTGTGGGGAAGGCCTGGATCTCCATGGGGGTTAAGGTTAGGTGTGGGGAGGGCCTGGATCTCCATGGGGGTTAAGGTTAGGTGTGGGGAAGGCCTGGACCTCCAGGGGGGCTATGTGCAGGCGTGGGGGGCGGCCTGGATCTCCATGGGGGTTAAGGTTAGGTGTGGGGAAGCCCAGGACATCCAGGGGGGCTACGTGCAGGCGTGGGGGCGGCCTGGATCTCCGTGGGGGTTAAGGTTAGGTGTGGGGAAGGCCTGGACCTCCAGGGGGGCTATGTGCAGGCGTGGGGGCGGCCTGGATCTCCATGGGGGTTAAGGTTAGGTGTGGGGAAGGCCTGGACCTCCAGGGGGGCTATGTGCAGGCGTGGGGGGGCGGCCTGGATCTCCATGGGGGTTAAGGTTAGGTGTGGGGAAGGCCTGGATCCCCATAGGGGGGCTATGTGCAGGCGTGGGGGCGGCCTGGATCTCCATGGGGGTTAGGGTTAGGTGTGGGGAAGGCCTGGATCTTCGTGGGGGTTAAGGTTAGGTGTGGGGAGGGCCTGGATCCCCATGGGGGTTAAGGTTAGGTGTGGGGAAGCCCTGGTTCTCCAGGGGGGCTATGTGCAGGCGTGGGGGGTGGCCTGGATCTCCATGGGGGTTAAGGTTAGGTGTGGGGAAGGCCTGGACCTCCAGGGGGGCTATGTGCAGGCGTGGGGGGCGGCCTGGATCTCCAGGGGGGCTCTGTGCAGGCGTGGGGGCGGCCTGGACTTCCATGGGGGTTAGGGTTAGGTGTGGGGAAGGCCTGGACCTCCATGGGGGTTAGGGTTAGGTGTGGGGAAGCCCAGGACCTCCAGGGGGGCTCTGTGCAGGCTGCTTGCCCGACCACAGCACCCCACACCCCCGCAGGCGCACCTCCAGGGACCGCCGGGGCCGAGGAAGACCTGTGCACCAGTCGG